CTTAAGCTTCCTCTCCTTTCTTCTATCCTACAAAACATCAATTGTAATCTTATCACATTATGTATTAAGAATCTAGAATAGGAGCTTAAAAGAGTTAGTCAATGGATTTTACCTAAAGTAGAGCCATACGTTTTGACTCTCCCATCTCTTAGATCTCTTAGGTAAATAGGGCAGCTTCGTCTCCAGTGCCCCTTCTCTTGGCAATAAAAGCAAATTGACTCTTTTGGAACAGGACATGGAACAACTTCAGACATTGCCTTTCTCTTATGATCAAACTTTTCGATCATAGCATGTCTTTCGTTGCCATTGTCTATATCCATAGAGGTCTTGAAGGCAGATTCACCAATCAACTTTGCTTTTTCTATTGCGCCAAACCATTGCTGATTCAGCAGCAATAAGCATATAGGTGAGATCTATAAGGGTCACGTCGCAGTTCATCATATAGTACTCTCTTACGAACTCACTATACGAGTTAGGAAGTGACTGAAGAACCCAATCAACAGCCATCTCCTCACAGATAACGGATCCCAACATTCTTAACCTATCAATGTGTGACTTCATCCCTAGGACGTGTGCACACACTGACTTTCCCTCTTCATGTTTACTTGCCAAAAGGACTTGAGTGAGCTTGAACTTTTCAAGCCTTCGAACTTGTGGGTTAGGGAGAATAATTGGAGGAGGTGGAGGAAGTGAAGCATGATCTCTTGTTCCTCGATCGAATCATGGAATATCATCTTCATGTGGAAAGCTTGTTCCACGGGATTTGGGAAGACCATAGTTGTCGTACTTTGACATCTACAAAACAAATTCAAGTTAGTTGATTGATTGAGTCCTTAGTAAATCACCCAAATGAGATACTAAGGCTAGGAACCAACACAATATGTTACAACCTAGAAAAAGGATGCTGTAATCTAGTTGCAGAATATTTGAAGGTAAGTGAATGACGATTCACTAATTTCCACCACGAAAAACGAAAAAGAAATTTAAGTTTTAAATTTATGAAAACTCCTAGATCCTTTGAGATTCATTGAAAATTTCAATGACATGTTTAAATCTTGATATGCCCCTCCTGTTTGTGACTGGGATGCCGAGGATCACAAAGCGGGTGTGAATAACCATGCAAACTTACATGGTGCCCTCACATGTTACAGTCACCTATTCGATGTGCCGGTAAACCACACACGCTCCACCGAACTATGACAAACATTAAGTCACCCTTTGCTACCTTTGCTTAGAACCATTTAGTGTGATGGTAAACCACACACGCTCCACTAACGTCTTCGCAAGGGCACAAAGTGTAATTTCATGGAATTGCATCAATTCACTTTTGCCTAAGTAACTAAGATTGGGAATTTGTAAAACATTTAGTTACTTTTGTACTTCATTATACTTATAATGGAAGGTTTTGTCCTATCCTACCCGTTCGGCTAACGACCCTACACTAGTCAAGAGTGCGTTGGGTAAGAGTGGATACCCATTCAATCACCATTTGATAGGCAATTTCCTTAAACACCCTTTATAGACCAGCTTCGTGAATGAGGCCTACTAACGGTAAGACTGACTTTTACTCATACATATATATAATGGTAGACTTTTAATGTTATATATAGTATATGGTGTATTTTACACTTTTAAAATACTAGGTGGTCAAATTTATTGATTATACTTTTAATTCAATTAAATATAAACCAAAACTCTTATGGATTTATTAAACCTCTTTTAATTATACACCTTAATTAATTAATAAAACCATAAGGGTGTGATATGAACTTTTCAAAATACTACTAGGGTTTTAGAATTTAACATTCCTAGATTAAACTTTTAATCAAAATTTAAATTCCAAAACTTGAGGACAAGTTTTGAAACATTTCAAAAAACTTAGGGTTTAGAATTTAAATATACATCAAAATTAAACTTTTAATCAAAATTTAAATTCCAAAACTTGAGGGCAAGTTTTGAAACCTTTTCAAAACATTAGGGTTTCAACTATTTAAATTTCAAAACTAAACTTTTGAGTTTAAATTTAAACTATAAAACCTAAAGGGGAAAATTGAAACTTTTGATAACACAAGGATCAAATAACAAATAATATAAATTAAACAATTAATTTCATCATTATCTATATTTGACCTAATTTCAATTTCTTGCAAAATAAGTTACCCAATTAATACAAATAATCAACTTTAATCATATAAGGAAGTTATTATCTAATCAATTGGTAATTATCTTTTGTTTAATCAAGGATATACTCATAAAATTGATTAAAATCGGATTTTATTGATCTAAAACAGATAAGGCAATTATCCATGAGAAAAAACAACAAGAAATCCCGAAATCCCCTCTTTCTGACGCTCGAACTCGCCGAGTACCACACTGTACTCGCCGAGTTGAGGCCTACTCGCCGAGTACACTGTGGTACTCGCCGAGTTCATCAGGCAGGGAGCACAAATCGATTTTGCAACTTGAACAAACATACAAGGCATCAATACAATAGAAACCAATAAAGGCTCTGATACCACTGATGGGTTTTAGCCATAAGAACATCCTATGTGCTCATACAAACCCTAATTCTTGGATCTAGGTTTCTCTATAGTACATGCAATTTATCCAAGACTATAGATCTAGCATATGATAATCAATATAACATATAATTAGGGTTTAGATAATACCTTGATTGTTATGTAGCAATAACAATCACAAATCCTCCTTGTAATGACTTTAGAAAGCTTAGAGTCACAAGTGTCACTCCTCTAATGGTTCACAAACACCAAGAGCAAGAGGATGAAGAAGAGAAGAGAAGGAGGCTCTCAAAAACGTGTGGAAACCCTAGATTATCAGTTCTCCACGTTTTTGGAGTATAAGGGTTTTATATATAGTGAGGTTATTAGGGTTATCTAACAAGGAAACCCTAATTTGGATGCTTAAGCCCTAAGCAACCCATGGACTCCTTTTCTTAAAGGCCTTGGATGATTTCTAATGGGTTTCCCCATAGAATTCGTCCATCCTTATAATATAAGGCAATCCATAGCCCAATTGCAATTATCTTATAATTACAATTCCAGTCCTTTAAGTTTAATTAATCTCTTTTAGTCACAAACTTAATTCTTATTAATTATTGACTAATATTAATAAAAAAATATGATTTCTCCTTTAATATATTATTCCCATAATATATTAATAAACCATATTTATCCTTTCTCTCCATAATTCATCCTATCAAGTTGCTTTGGTGAAGGCAACCCAAAAGGACCATGCACCATCGGGTCAAGTACATACCAAAATAGTTATGGACTTAGACACTAATCCAACACTTTCTTGTCCTCAAGAAACAACAAGAATTAGACGAAACAGGACGACTTCTAGATGGCAAAAAGAAACATAGAGCAAAAAGGGACGGAAAAATCCTAAGGGCTAGGAATGAATGCATGCAATGCAAACCATGAAAAAGAACGATATCTACTTTTGTAAATAAGTAAAAATTCGATCACACTTTACATCAATGGGGCTCCAATCATTAATACCTAGGCGACCATCCTGCTTCCTTCTCCATATCACAAACTCTCAAAGTGAGGAAGACCCGAAACGGTGTAACCCAATAATCCAACCTCAATTTTATTTAAACTTTATACCTTAATTAGCTTTATGGGAGAAAATAACATAGTCTGGATCTCATGTACTTAAGACTAGATGGCCAAGAATAAGAATCGACGCATCCTTAAGAACCTGTCACGACAAATCAACTTTCGTTGAAAAAGCGAGCCCACCCGAAGGGGGCCAGATCCTATGCTTTCACTTTTTCGAGAGCCACAAGTATCATATCACACAGTTCTTCATTCGCCAGATTTGACTTTGAGATGGCTTTTGATTTTGATTGAACTTGGATTTGTATCTTCATTTTGAGCTTGAATTCTTCAACCACTTTTGAATTTATGATAATTTCTTCGTTTTGGCACTTGAAATTCTGATTTTGGGTATTGGATATGACAGTTGTACCCTTCCTTCTTTCTTGACTGTGTGGATCTGATACTTAAGCTCTCTGTTACCACGAGGGTAACGCATGTCAACAAATAGGTCCATGTTTCGTGGGTCCAGAGTTGTCAACAAAGATTCTTTTTAAACATTCAGAAGCAAATCATCCTAAAGTTGTTATTACCGCCCACAAATTACGGTGTTTGGGCCCCCTAGTTATGACATCTGATTCTACACTTCCAGTAGCTATCCGGTCGCCTCAGAATTTTTTTCGTTTGATTTCTCGTTTTCCACTTCATGGAGCTATTATATGTAAAGAGTGTCATCATCTCGTACATTTTTTTCCGATGAAGATGATGATGCATGAAAATGATGGAATGCAAAAACTTGAAATAAACATATTTTTGGTTTTTATAAATGCAGAATGCAAAGAAAATGAAAATAAGAAAGTTAATTTAATTTAATTTATTTTTATTTTATTTTATTTATTTTATTTATTTTATTTTTTTGAAAATGCATGTGTATGAACATGAAAATGAACCTAATATACAACTCTACCCTTCCCCAAGCTTAAAGATAAGCATCGTCCCCGATGCTTGGAGAGGAACGACCTATTGCGGAGGAAGAGGAGGAGGATAATATCCGGAGTTTCGGGTCCAAGCCCAAAAGTCCTCCTCATGCTTGCGATGATGCTCTTGATTCCGAGCGTGTTGGGTGGTGAAGGAAGAAAAACTTTGGGTGAGGCTCGCGAGATCTTGATGGTAAGTATCGAGGCGGGTATGGATCGACTGGAATTGATCCATATATTGTTGGTGATATGATAAGGGCTCAGCATGATGGGATGACCTAGCACCACCCGTGGGAGGAGTATTTTGGGGTTCCTCCTCTTCATCATCATCATCAGCATCACCCTCCTGACTTTCTTCATTTTGCTCGTCTCCCTCAGTGGAATAGGAGCGTGGAAAGAGGTATGGAGTGATTTGCCAATCGGTCATATAGGTGGGGCTTTGGAGATCAAGAATGCCTTTACTTTATGGTGTAATGAGGAGCTTCGGGTCATGATTTTGGCCCATGATCCAGTGGTGGGTGCCATCCGCTGCCGAATGGAATAGTCGCGTGGACTCAAGAACAACTGTGGTAAGATAAGGCTCACCCTGCAGTGGCTGGTGGTCAGCGGGATATGGGGCTCGGACCGGGGCGCTCTTGGCGAGCATGCTGACTATACCCCCACAATAAATTTTTCCCGATCGGGATGTGCTCAGGCGGAGGAGTTTGTTGCACAGAAATTGGCCATAATGAGGTACAATTTGTTTTTCTGAGTTGGCCATTGCGTAGAGGATTTTTAGCTCCAGCACGCTAATGGTGCTTCGCTCCTCTCTAGGGATGACGAGTGAAGTAATGATTCGGTGGGCCACCTTCATCATGGGATGGATGAGTGATGAGGCTTTATCCGCGCTGGAGACATATGGATGCAGATGGGTGAGGTGGGTCCACCAGAACAGATCGCTATAGTCTTCAATTGGGTCATTGGGGCCAGATGTGTTTTCAGTTAGGGCCCCAACTATAGCGTTGATTTGATCCAAGGAAATGGCGTAGTCATGGTGAATGAGGCGGAAGTTGAGGACCCCATGGTCCAAATAGACCGAGGACAGAAACTCAGTTGTTGGAACTTTGTAGCTGAGTTCGTGGACCCTCAACAACCCATGTCATCTGATGTTGCGAAACCTGGTGTGGACTTGCTTATAAATGTGCAACTCACGGAGGGATGGCACGTGCGCGAATTTTTGTATAGTGTGATTATGCTGGAGGAATGCTTCCAGTTTGGCCTCTTGAATTGGACCAAGACACACTACACCACCATGAGCTGGGTTAGGTGGTGGTGATGGGGACGGGGATGGAGGCCTACGATGGTGGGCGGATGACTTGGTGTGACTAGGTCTCTTTGAAGGCTCACCTTCCATAGTCAAAATTTGGGGCTAAGACAAAAAGTCAATCAGTCAACAAGTCAAAAAGTCAACTGTGGACGGGTCCGGTCAACACAAGTTTGGCCACCACAATTTCGCAGGAAACTTTGTTTTGAATGATTTCCAAGTGATAATCAAGTCCAATTTGACCATAATTACATGCAATTTGACCTAAAGAACACAAAATCACAAGTGAAGAATTAGAAGGATTGTACCGAATCGTTAGTGGAATGTGTTGTTGTTGGTGAGAAAGACCTTCTTCAACCACCCCAAGCTTTCCTACATGAAGATTTAAGCACAAAAACACCAAATTCTTTAGAAAATTTCGGACCTAGGGTTTGTCAAAACCCCCAATTCCACCATGAAAGTGCAAGAAAATGGTGTATTAGATGTAGGAGATGAAGTGGTGTCACACCCCCGAACCAGACGACGGAAACGACCGGGGGCTCGTGTGACTAACAATTGAATAATCATCACAATGAATATATATGAAACATAAGACATTCATCACCAACATTACATAATACAACCAACATTGTTCACATCAAGTACATTGTTAAAATACATAAGTTCAAATTGTTAAAAGTACGATAAGTGTTGTTACATAAAATAAAACCATACACACTTGACAACCTTCCAGCTTAACGATTACTTGAGCATACAAGTTATTTTGAAAACGGTCAACATATATAATGTTTGTGAGTTCATAAGTGTGTTTGAGTAAAAGTCTTTGTATCTTTCGTAAAAACCTAGAAAATCCGATATTTTCTGTAAAATGTTTGAAAATGATGTGAAAATGAAGTATAGATGCATGTGTGAATTTTATAGTAGTAACATATATAAATGAAGTTTAGATATCTTTGTGTTGTAAGTAAGTGATAATTGAATATTAACATTTCCCCAGAAAATCCGATATTTTCTGATTTGTTATTATGTCGAGGTTCTTGTATCGTTAAATAGATTGTTTTGTATTGACACCATCGAAGAAATTATCTCCGAAGTATTAATATTTTTGGTATAGAATCCTAACATGAGTCGTTATAATCATACATGGTAATGACTAGGTTGCTTGTCTTGAAATTTTCCAAATGCCGGTATTTGCTCAAGGTTTTGTTGCCCTAGACTGGCCTAGTCTAGCTGTAGCGAACAACTAAGGCGTGGACGGTCACCCTGTATAGATCTATACACAAACTCTCGCTCTCCCTCCAGGAGACTCTGATTATAACTACAAGCTACGATCGTACACTCAAAGGTGCCAACCGACACGTCTCACTAGATTCTCAACCTTTCGTACTATGTTTAATGTTTACGTGTATGTTGTATGTTATCAAAAACCAAAGGTACATATATAAGTATACAAAGTTCAATAGTTTTGTATAGGTATAGTTACGATCACTAAGCATGTGAATTTCTCTCCAAGCCCAATTAGCATGTAAATGGATCATAAAGGCCCAATAACATGTAAGTGGGTAATTTGGGCCCAATAGGCATGTAAATGGACCACAAAGGCCCAACAAACATGTGACCCATAACTCAGGCCCAAATTAAAATGTAAATGAGTCACAAGGCCCAATAAACATGTCATGGAAATTATTAGGCTCAATATACACTTGAATGGACCCTTAAGGCCCATTGGCCACATAATATGAATATTAGGCCCAATAAAATTATTATCGATGTATTTCGTCCATTCGTTATTGTTTCGTGGTTTATTTTAGCTCGAGGTTTACCAAGTTTATTATAAAAAGTCTCCTTTTTGTAAAACAATATTTTTGGTCAAAAGCCTCAAATTTTCAATTAAGGCCCAATGTTTTGTAAAAATGACACTTTAGTCCATAATTTATAAAAATTTGTAATTTTGTCCCAAATGTCTAAAAATTCACGGTTTTAGTCCAAAAATATATACTTCGATATTTAAAGCCCAGTTTTGCAAAAAAGTGCATTTTTAGCCCATTGTTTGTAAAAATTCACACCTTCGGCCCAATTTTGATAAAAGTTACATTTTTGGTCCAATTTAGGAATAAATGTTATTTTCACCCATAAATTTGGTTTATTTACATTTATGCCTCAAATTTTGCTCAAATAACATTTTTAGTCCCAAAACTTTCCCTTTTTCGTAATTTTGGGCCCAAAACCTTGAGGCCTAAATGTTTGGCCCATTAAGCCAAATTTATGTTTTTGCCCCTTTGGAAAGCATGTTTATCATAAAAATCTATTTTTATACAAGTAGAACCTGTTTGGTCCTTATAAAAACATAAATGTCGCTTTTTCCCTGATCTTTTGTTTTCCTGACAATTTTGATCCTTAACAAGTTTTTGCCTTAAATTTTTATATCTTAAACATATAACACATTTAACTTGATAATATGATGTGTAAGGTGTCTTAGTTCATGGATCTTAACTCAATGTTACTTAAGATGTCGAGATTTTCTAAGATCTAACATATTTTTACAAAATAAACTAAGAAATCACACAAGAAATGCATATAACACATAGATCTACACATTTTACTTGTATTCTCCCCCAAAAATCATGTAAAAACCGAAAACAAGGGGTTATGAACTCACCTTTGCTTTGATGTTTTGGTTTTGAAGAAGAGATGAAGAGATTTTTGGTCCTAGCAACACCTTGAAGTAGTTTTTGAGCTTAAGAAGTTTCTAGAAGTATGATCACCAAAATCTTGTTTAGAAGGAGTGATCTAACAAGAGAAAGAAGTTTTATAACGTGGATATGTAAAGACTTACCAAGAATGATGATTTTTGGTGGTGAAAACCTTCTTCAAGATGCTCAAGATCTCGTAAATTAGAGAGGAAATGAAGGAGTGTTCTTGTGAGTGTTTGAGAGAAGTTTGCAAATGGAGTGTGTGTGTCTGTGTATCTTCGGCTGAGAGGTAATGAAAAAGAGAGAGAAGAGATGAGTTTGCATGGGAACATGATATGGCTTGGTTGTTTGAGGTGTAATGTGCTTAGCTGTCCATCAAATAAAAATGAGGTGGCACCACCAAATTTAACTCTCATTCCATTTCTTTTTTATTACTCACGGGCCGAGAATTACATTAAGAAGGAGAAGATGAATCATTTTGGCCCAATCTTGATCCTTGCTCGAAATCATGAGGCCCATAGAGAAGTTTTTGGCCCATTGGGCCTTTAGGGTAGTTCACGGTCCAAAATGGCATAAAAGAATGGATTTTTGGCTTACTAGGTTTAATTGGATTAGCTATGGCCCAATAAGGCCCATTAGGGTTAGAATGAACCATTCTAGGCCCAAATGGTCCAAAATGTTATAGATTTGCGAATTGGGTCCATTTAGAATCCAAATAGGGTTTCCATGCCCAAAATAGTTGAATTTAATGCTTATTGGCCCTTTAGGCCCAATATGGAAATCCTAGTCCAATATAGACTTAAATAGGGATTCCTAGGGTTTCAGACTCTTGTTGAACATGAAAGGTGAATTTAAATGAGCATTGGGGTCACATTTACTTAGAGTATATGTTTTACAATGGTTGAATGATTACACAGGAATATAATTTCCTAGCTAAAATGCTAGTTGTGACAAGTGGAGAAGATGAAAATCTAACCTCTTTGAAGATTTAAGCTAAAATCTTGTAGAAATTGAAGGGTTTTGAGTGAAAATCGGACCTTAGGGTTTTCTTCGGAGAGAGAGGCTGTTATGGAATGAATGTGTGGGTAAATGAGGCAAAATCCCGATTTTAATCATTAAAAACCACCAGGTCTGCTGTGCGAACACGACCCGTGTTCCCACGGGCCAAATGAACATGTCCTATGTTGGAAAAAAATGTTGAGAATGCTGAACACGACCCGTGTTCAGTATAAGGCTAAATCGAACACGGCATGTGTTGCTCTCTGGATGTGACAAGGTGTTTTTTGCATGAACACGACCCGTGTCCAATAAAAGCCAAAATTGAACACGACCCGTGTTCGGCTCTGGATGCTATTCCCCACTGTTTGAACTTAAACATTCCCCTCTCATTCAAATGAAGTGTTTTTGCATCCCAAGGTCCGTTTGGTAATTTGAAATCATGTTAAAATGCATTTGAAACATTAAAAACCCAAAACTTCAAATAAATGAAAATGTTTTTAAAGAAAAAGACAAAAATACCCCCGAGTTGCCTTGTTTTAAGTCGTTCGCTCGACTTTGCCTGTGAGTATGCTTCAATCTTGGTACGTGGGGTTCCCAACAACTTCTATCTCCTCATTCTTCACCTCAAATCCTTCGTAAAACGGTTTCAATCTATGACCATTGACTTTGAATGTTTTTCCCGTTTGTTGGCTCGTAATCTCCACCGCACCATGGTCGAATACCTTTTTGACCACGAAAGGACCGACCCATCTTGATCTCAATTTCCCTTAAATCAACTTGAACCTCAAGTGATAAAGAAGAACTTTTTGTCCTTCTACAAAAGTCTTCCGGGAGATCATTTTGTCATGATATGCCTTTGTCTTCTCTTTGTAGATCATGTCACTTTCATATGCATCATTTTGAATTTCCTCTAGCTCTTGTATATCTAGCTTCCTTTTGTTTCCCGCTTCATCTTCACTCAACTTGAAA